CTCAACTGGGTACCTGATCTACAACCCAAACATGTCCCCTGATCAGGAATCGAACCAGCAACTTTTTGGTTTGCAGGACAACACCCAGCCCACTGAGCCACACCAGTCAGGGCCCTGATTATATTTTGGCTCTTAGATAAAATAGCTGAGCACTTGAGCATTTCATGTATTCTTTTTACTTTGGTTCTTGTCCTTTGCAGTTGAGTAGGGTTTGCTCTGAGTCTTCACCTGAGGCTGAAACATCACTGCCTTTGTCACATTTAATGGTTTCAATCTTGGCGGCACCTAGATGTCATTTATGAGAACCCCGCTGTTTACTGCTACTTGGGCAGTTTCATTTTTTTTTGTTGTTTTCCACTAATTTTTATAAGTGATGGGAAAAGCTGATATATTAGTAAATAATTTGCACAGATAAATACGAGCAGAGCTGAGCCACTGTGCCCACGTCCATCCCTCGGCCATCTTGCCCGCAGGAGTGGCCCTGCCGCGGTGTGCGCTGTTTCGGGAACGTGCTTGGCTCGTCCTTGTCGGTGGTTTGGGCCATCAGTGTGTGATGTGTGAAAAGGTTGCCACCAGCAATCCGGGAGCAGCTTCTGTGGATATTGACCTGTCACCCTTCTCTCTGTGTCTCCAAACTGGGACATGAGTATGGGGTAGAGGGCTGACAGGTTACCCCTGTGTATCTGAGAGACAGGTTTGCGATGAAATGTCATAAACCGCCCTGCCGGGGGAGTGCCTGTGTTCTTGGCACATGGACAGGTGTGTTTCAGTAAGTCAGATCTTCGCCCAGGGCACTTGCATATGTCGAAGATTCCTGCAGATGATCCTGCAGAAGTTTTCACAGAGAATCACATCTCACTGATGTTCTCCATAGCTTCATATTCTTGCATGTCAGTCGGGTTTTCTTACAGCGAGTGTCTGCCCTTACAAAGGTACTTGTGCTCTGAGGACAGTGTTGCTGAGGTAGAGTCCTTAGAGACAGATATATTTGTGTTCATGGACATTGAATTACTGGAGTGCTATCTTGTTAAGGATTTTGCAAGTAAAAGAAACTGTGTCCAACTTGAGTCCTAAAAAGTGCCATGTGTTCATTTCAATTTTCTCCTTCATCTTTGAATTCCGTTGGCCAGCAGACAAGCCTGGGCAGACAACCCCACTGCCAGGGCACACTGCCTTCTGGCCCAGTCCGCTCTCCTGCTGTCTGACCAGGCCGTGTGCAGTGACCCTCATTAGAGTCTGGTGGTCAGCTTAGAGGTCAGCCTTTTAAGCAGAATAGTTGGAATTCCAGAGCACAGGCTTGCCTTGATTTTGTTTGTCTAAGCATGCAGTTGACTAGTCTTCAGTCTCACTGGTTTCCGAATATGGTATCCTTGAGTCCTTGCGGCTGCTGACATTTGAGATGCAGCCTAGCCTCAGGGGTCCTGGGGGATGCAGCCAAAAATATCCAGTCTTGGTGGAAGGAGGACAGCATGGTCCTGTTGTTTACTGGCACCCTTTGCAAATGAGGGGGCATTAGAACGTGTGGGCAGAATGTGATCGGCCCAAGCCTGAGAAATCTGAGGCTCTCACAGCCTGTGCTTTCTCACCTGAGAAGGAAGTTCATCACTAACGCACAGTAAGTCAGGCCACGAAGGAAGAGGCCAAGGCATCCATCCCCGTCGCCAAGCCTAGGTGGCGCTCTCCTCCGATTGTCAGCTGCTTCATCCTCTGCTTCTCTGGTGCCTCCTTAAAGCACTGAGTCCTATTTTTAGTGCAGGGCTGTCACTTCTGATGTGCTGCTGTTGCAGGAATTCAGTAGCAGCTGCAGCAGACACTCTGACTTAAAGGGCCCATTTATAATGCCCAGGAACCTTATTGACCAAATAAAGGAGAGCAGAGTATACGGTGAGTCAGCTGCTTCAGGCCTCATCAAATGGAAGCCCTGCGTGTATTGCTTTCCACAGTATCCTGCATAAATATGTGCTGGCTGTGCCCCTGTCTGTAGCATGTGGGTTAGTTGCTTGTCGTACTCAGCTGCAGTTGGAGGAGGAGAGGGCAGAGGCAGCCTTACTGGAGGAGGGTCGCAGAGGAGCACCAGGTCCAGGTGGTGTGACCCACTGCCAGATTTTCCATCCCAGGGGCCACTCACAGGGGTCATGTTCAGGCCCATCCAGATAATGTATATAAAAGTGTCCCACTGCTTTAAACATCATTCGCATTAACACCATGGCAGGGATGATCTGTGGTGGGCGAGCCCAGGGCTGTCAGGACCAGGCCCTATCAGTGCCAACTCTCAGAGTGCAGACAGGATCGCTTTGGCCACAGGGTTTTGAACATTTTGGATGTGAGCACCTCCCACCTCCACCCCACGCTCCAATGTGCAAAACTGATACAAATTCCAGTCTGTTGTTGGCATTTGTTTATCATTTATTTTCGAGTTGAGAGGTGAAATTGGTGGCGGTGAGCCTGATTGTACGGAGAGGAATGGCACCGCCAGCGAGATCCACAGTGGCTCACACTTCACATCTGCATTCTGTTTCGGTTGTGCCGTCTGGAGAAAATTAGTCATGGATGGCAGCTGTTGTTGAAAATGACTCTTCTTGTGTAAGAAATTCTTAAGAATAGGCAGGTGAAAGCATTATTAAGATCGCCGATGACAAGCCACCCTTGTCACACATTCCCTGATTCCAGGGGCTGAGGGCCAGAGTGGACTTGCCCTCCTGGAAGGAGAGGGTCTGCTTTCCCCCATCTTGCTCAGCATGACCTCTGTGTCCTTAGGTCCCCAGTGCAGGGCTGCCTGCTGTGCTCCTCACTCCCCAGCCCCCAGCTTCCTCACTTCCCCAGTGCGGGGCCCCTGGATGGACACAGAGCTCAGGTGATCTGTCAGGCAGATATGGGTGCCTCTCTGTGACATGTGAAGAGGTGGAGTCACTGGCCCGGTGCACTGTGACCCTCAGGAAGGGCTGTAGACTTCTGTGTTCCTTGGAGGAACTGCTCTCTGCCCACATCAGGCCCAGGTGTCAGGTTTGCGTCCTTCTATGCCTGTGTGGCCCCTAGGGGCTCAGCCATGGCCAGACTGATGGGAGGCTGGAGCAGGTAAGTCTGTCTGTCCTGGGAAGGGTTGTGTGTGAAAGCTGCGACCCGAGTACTTGGCCACCCTGGTCTTAGGAGCCCAGAGAGCAGCATGCAGGCGCAGGGACTCATACCCAGCCAGGGCCCACGTCTGGGCCTCTTCCAAGACTGCTTCAGCATTGCCCAGTTTCTGCACTGCATGTGAACAGTCCCCCTGTGTCCGCGCTTTTGTGTTTTGTTTCTTGGAATTGATGTTTAGTTTGTGAAACAGACCCATTGTGCTGCATTTAGCTGCATAGAATTTATTGTCATTGCCATGTGACCATCCACTGTTTCACGTATCCCAGTTTACGGATGCATTCCACTGTTGATGGCCGTCTGGGCTGCTCCCCGTTTGGGGCTTCTGGGAGCCCTGCTGCATGTGTCTCTCATGCACTCCAAGGGCACACCCCCAGGCATGTGTCCACGGGCGCGGGGTGCTGGGGGTGGCCCATGTGCATCTTCAGCTTCACTCAGTAGTGTCAGCAGTCAGTCACCCACTCCTCACCCCCACCAGGGGCGTGTGAGCATTCCCGTCGTTCCACAGCCACTTCTCAATTACGTGGATGAGTAATAAGGTTGGGCATTTTCATAATAAGTTCACTGACATTCGGACTTTGCCCTTGTGAAAGGTCTGTTCCTATTTCTCCTGTTTTCATACCGAGATGTCTCACTGATTTGTAGGAATGCTTCATCTGTCCTGGAAGCTGGAATTGGTGAGCCTGAGGCTGCATCTGAAAACAGAGGTGCCCCAGGCGGCCACAGGCATAGAGACACAGCCCCTCACTCGACCCTGTCCTTCCTCCCCTGCATCACCGAGCTTCCCTCCTGAGGTGTCTCTGTCCTTCGCCCGTAGCCCCTTCCTATCCCCTTTCCCACTGAAAGCCTGTGGTCTGGCCTGGGATAGTCCCCAGAACCCACTGTGCCTTCCTCTGGACAGTGGTTCACGTGACACAGTTGAGGCCCCTCTTCTCACTGAACCCCTCTTTTTAACACCTCTCCCCATTAAGACTCACAACTTTGGGGGGGGCAAGTCACTGTGTGAGGGTGTTGGGCGAGCCTTTGCCCCATAATCTCTTACCATTCATGCCACGGTCACCCTTGGCTGACCCTCCGCCACACCATGCTGCCGCCGGCGGCTCACTGCCCCTGGGGCCGCACTAGGCCCTTTGCCCGGCCACTCGGGGCCCCCTGTAGCCCGATTTCTCTTTCCTGACATCCCTAATCTCAAGTCTTGCCTTGTTACAGAGGTTCTAAGCTCCGTAAAGGCAGGAATGATAGGATATGCTCTTTACTGCCTCATTAGTTATTCTTACTGAATGAAATGTATGACTTTAGGGTAAGGGGCCAGACTGGACAGTAATACCGATCTCTATGTTTGTGTTGCACTGTGTTCTGGGTATTTCTTGCTGTTAAAAAACCATAAGACAGAAGCCTGGTGACTCCAGAATCTGCAGCCTGTGCTGAGCCTGGGAGAGATGGAGGCTCACTCTACTCGCACGTCCTCAGCTGGCGCAGGCAGACCCAGCCTGGCCACGCACTTCCGGGAGGGCGTGTGGTGCGCGGTGTTTGCTGGCTGTCTGTGGGGAGCTCACCTGGGCCGGTGGGCCACACACTGGCCTCAGCTCCTCTCCCTGCGGGTCTCAGCACAGGGCCGCCCTGGCTTCCTCACAGCATGGTGTCTGAGTCCAAGAATGAGTGTTCTGGGGAAGCGGGCGTTGCTCATCTCTTAGGACCTGGGCCCAGAGGTTGGCCCGGCGACATTTCTCCTGTTCTCCTGGTGACAGAGCTCACCCAGATTTAGGGGAGGGGACACTGATAGGTGGAGCCCTTCCTCTCAATGGCAGGAGTGTTGAAGAATTTGGGGCCAGCACACCCTAACAGACCGCCCTCCCTGTGCCTTGCTTCAGCCCTGACTGCCGCTGCGGGACGAGGGAAGCTGGAGGTGTGTGAGCTGCTGCTGGAGCAAGGGGCCGCCGTGTCCCGGACCAACAGGAGAGGGGTCCCACCTCTGTTCTGCGCGGCGCGCCAAGGGCACTGGCAGGTACGCAGTGGGCCCCTGAGTGCTTCAGAAACAGTGAGAGGGGACAGAGTCCACTCTCGCCCCTCTGCCCGGGGCCCACGCGTGGCTCCCCTGAGCCCCGTGTTCAGCGCCTCACTGTGCCGTGCGTGGACTGCTGGATGAAGGTGTGCATTGGGTGGGGTGGCGCAGTGAGCCAGGCTGGCCAGGTCAGGGCCCCCCCCCCCCCCAGGCTTCCTGTTCGCTGGGGAGGGAAGTGGGGCAGGTGGGCCCCCATTACAGCAACAGAAGACATATCTGTGACACATCTGTCGTTGGTGTGATTGTGTGGCCCACTGGCCCCCTGCACTTGAAAGAAGGGTGGTTCTGCTGTGCTCTCTGGAAAAGGCCCTGTTTCCCTGTGGTCCAGCACGGTGGCTCATTTGCTCTCCTGTGAATGGCACGTTGCCTTTCATTCAAGGGAACCTGGGATCCTCACGAGCAGCGGCTCAGGCATTTCGTTCCTTCATCTGGTAAGCAGTGGCTGTGGACCTGCTCTGTGCCAGGCACCAGGTTACACACAAGCAACAAACAAATGAATCTTACTATGTTCACTACAGGAAGAATGTTTAGACCCAAGTTCACAAATGGCACTGATCTGTCCTGATTCCTGCCAGCTCCGTGGGTGGGAGCGACGAGCGCTCCCACCAAGATGCCGGCTTCTCTCCCTTTATTTCCCAGAGCTCAGTGTGCAGCCCGCGTCCTCTGCACCCTCCAGCTTCCACACGGTGCCCTGGTCAGTCCTCTCGCCTGGTCTGTTTCCTAAGGCAGGGTGCAGTTTGGAATGTTAGTCGCCCCGTCTCTGGTAGTGATATGAAGTCATGCCAGAGAGTCTGGGCTACCCTGCACACGGCCATCCCCACTGCAGGGGCGGTTGTGTGAGGTGCCTCTCCAGGTTCTTGCTTTTGCTGCCCAGCCGCATCATGGCCTCTGTTCTGAGGGGTGGTCCTGAGCCGAGACTCTCTTCCGGGAAGATCTGCTCAGAATCGCCCTCTGTGGGCATGGAGCCATCCTCTGGGTCTTGGAAGAGCAGATTACTTGGGGTGTCGTGGGTGAATATTTTCCTGCGCCCCACTTCCCTGGCCCGTGCCCTTCACTACAGACGGGAATGTTGCGGCAGCGCCAGCATGGGGACCCGTGGCCGTTACTCGCCTCCTTCTGGTTCTGCTCAGTAATCCCATACACCCTGCTCAGCTGGCTGGTCATTGCTTGTTTGTGGCACCCAAATTCCTGTGTCTGCCTGGTTTGGGCATGTTTTTAAAAGCATACTTCTGGAAGAAGGTTGTATTCAAAAGAACACAACAGAAAATGTTTATAGGCTGCCCGGTTATACAACTTAGTGGGGTTTTCAAAAGAAGAGAGCCCTTCTACTACTTTTAAAGGTAGGAAGTCCTGCCTGGGTGTAGCCAACATGATGTACGATGTAGCAGGAAGATTGTAATTCGCAGTGTTTGTTTCAGATCGTGAGACTGCTGTTGGAGCATGGCTGTGATGTGAACCTCAGTGACAAGCAGGGCCGGACACCCCTCATGGTGGCTGCGTGTGAAGGGCACTTGAGCACCGTGGAGTTCCTCCTTTCAAAAGGTAGTGAGTGCCCGGTCTGCTCTGCATCGGGTTTCTTTTGGATGGACAAAGAGCTTTAGCAGACTCAGTACTTTCTGATGCAAATTTTAACAGGCATTTCGTTATGGAGATTTTCTGACTGACACACAAGTGGAGAGATTGGGTAGTGAAGCCCACATGCCTGTTTCTCAGCTTCAGCAGTGATGCCCAGGTTGCCGAGTCAGCTTCAGATTCCACGGCACCTGCTGGCCACATGCTCGGGCCGGGGAAACGCTTTGTTGCATCTGGGCTTTGTCTGACTGAGCTAATGTTCTGTGATTGGGCTTCTCTTTCAGGTGCCATCCTTTCTTCTCTGGACAAGGAGGGTTTGTCTGCATTAAGCTGGGCTTGTCTAAAAGGTCACAGGGCAGTGGTTCAGTTTCTGGTTGAAGAAGGAGCTGAGATAGACCAGATGGACAAGAACGGCCGCACTCCCCTGGACTTGGCGGCCTTCTACGGCGATGCAGAGACGGTAGGTGCCGCGGGCGCTCTCACCCCTCCGCCTGCCCCGTGTGCAGGGCCAGGAGCTATAAAGAAACCCAGGACTCGACCACTGCAGCATGTGTCTGAGGCTGTGTCTGAGCGTGGTGTCAGGGTGTGTGTGTGTTGCAGAGTATTTTTGTTTCTCTTTAATTCTGTGACATGCAGTCTATTCCAGAATTGTAGTAGAGATTTTAATAGACTCTTAAAAGCTGAAAAACACATGATTACAAACTGCATGCACGACAAACACATACACGGATGTGTATGCACACACACAAGCATGTGTACTTTAATTTTCTTATAATCATATAAGTGGAATTCCTTTATAGATCTTTTAGAAATCATATATATGTATGTGTGTGTATACATGAGAAACCGCTAATCAAATAATCAGCTGGTTTGTCTTGAAAGCAATACGGCAGCATCTAGGATGCTGTGGGCACTATCTTTGTCTCTGGCCGATGCCGAAGTCGGCTGAGGGGTGAGGGCCAACCTTACTGAACTAGGAACCGCGAAATGTTTCTCAGGGCAGAGACTGCGTCGTGGTCAGGAGCCACAGCGCTGGTACCCAGCAGGCCCTAGAGGACTATTCGGCCCCTCTGGAGTGATCATTTTTGAATATTTACTGTGCCCGATGTTGGGGCTACCTGGAGAATTATGTCACCAGAAACTGCAGATCGTGGAGCACAGGCCATCATCATCCTGCATGTCTGGGCCTCGACACTTTTAAGAGGCAGTGATACTGGGGTTAAACGGGCTCCATTTCCTGAACATTGTACACTGCACTTAACATCGATTTTCAGAAACAGCTCTTTAACTGAACCTCACATATCTATGCTTTTATTTTTCAGCTTATACTACCTCACCAAATCCTGTAGCCTCTCAACATTAGGAAAAAGTGAAGGAAGTTAGCATTCTAGTACCTGTTTTAAAATTGTGATAAAAAATACAACGTAAAATGTGCCACCCGAGCCATTCTGCAGTGAGCAGTCCAACCCTGAGGTCTAGATGTCCTCACCTTGTGAAGCTGACACTCCTCACCCATCCAACAACTCCACCCCATTCCTCCCTGCCCGTGCCTCTGACACCCGCATTCTGCCTCTGTGCCTCTGAGTGTGTCTGCACCCTGTACCTTGTTAAGAGGACTCACATGGCATTGGTCCTTTTGTGTGCGGCTTATTTCAGTTAGCAGAATGTCCTCAGGGTTCATCCAGGCTGTAGTGTGTGATGGGACTTCCTTCCTTGTAAAGGCCGAGTAAGTGGTCCATTGTATGTGGTTACCATGTTGTCTCTTCCCACTCATCCGTCAGTGGGCATTTACGTTCCTCGCCTCCTGGCTACTGTGGATAGTGCTGCTATGAACATAATATGGGTGTGCAGGTATCTCACTGAGACCTTGCCGGTTCTTTGCGATCTACCCACATTCTTCTGGATATAGACCCGGGAGTGGAATTGCCGGATCAGCTGGTAATTCTGTTTTCAATTTTTTGAAGGACCTCTGTACTGTGTCCATAGTGGCTGCACCCTTTCCCATTCCCACCAGCAGAGTGCAAGGTCCCCACTTCTCTGTATCCTCACCAACACAGTAGCGTCTGTGTGATTGATTTCTTTTTTAATAACAGCCACGCTAACATCATCAGGCGACATCTTGTGGTGGTTTTGATTTGTGTTTCCCTAATGGTGGGCGATGTTGAGCATGTTTTCACATGCTGATTGGCCCTCTGCATATCATGTTTGGCAAAAGACATCTATCAGATCCTTTGCCCATTTTTAAATTGGGTTATTTGGGATTTTGTCATAAACTTGTGGGTGTTTTTAACACATTCTGGGTGTCTGTCCCTACCGTGTCACAGGGAACAGCAGGAGGATGGATAGGGTTGACCTGTTATGTCCACGTGAAAATCTGAGGTGGCCACAGTCCTCTTACCCCATGAGTGCAGCAGTTTGAGTGGCCGGAGGGGTTTCCCTGTTGTTTTCTGTGACGGCTGTTTTATCAGATTGAGTCAGTCGTTGGACCAGGGTCTCCATCTTCACAGTCCCAGTAGTCAGGCCTCGTTCTTCGCCTGGAAGCGAGTTACAACTGGCTCCATCTGACCCCAAACTGCTCATCTGCCCAGCTTGCAGGGCCTGGGCCTTGTGGGCCTGAGTGTCTCTGCAGCGCCTGTTGCCGTTGCCTCCAGCCTGCTGGGGCCGGTGCCCAGCGTGCCTCCCGAGTGACTAGAGATGGGAAAGTGATCGTGTCTCATCTCTGTGACCGGGGAGGTGGGATGAGACGGATGATGACATGTGCATTTACCCATCCGTGACGGGAGACCAGCAGCGGGCCTCCTGCCAGGAGCCGCTCCTCACGCCTCTCTTCCCGCTGCAGGTGTTGTACCTGGTTGAGAAGGGTGCTGTGATTGAGCACGTGGACCACAGTGGGATGCGTCCCCTGGACAGAGCCATCGGTTGTCGGAACACATCTGTAGTGATTGCGCTGCTGAGAAAAGGAGCCAAGTTAGGTCGGTAAACACTCAGTGTGGTAGTGGGGGGCAGTCAGCTTCGGATTTCAGAGCATGTTAGGGACCATAGTATTTGCCTGCTCCCAGGTGAAGAAGTCAGATGTTTGGAGATTTCTTTCTCCTTCTGTAACACTCATTTAATCGCAGTCACTTAAAATGTTGGAACAGCTCTTATTGTTGTTGCCAGTGTGAGTAGGGAGTAGAGGCCAGTGCTGAAGGGCTGTCTAGGATTGTGGGGGGTGCTCAGGGTGCTCAGGAGCCATGCCGGGGCAGTTCCGTGGACTCCAGGGGGTGCAGGGGGCGAGTGGGTGCCCCAGCGACAGCTGAGTTTGAGAGCCGCTGCTCTAGAGTAAGCGCAGCAGCCAGTTGGGTGGGGTGGTGGCACCCCCCACCCCTGCACAGGGAAAGCTGGTGGGGGTTACCGGAGACGAGAGGGTCTCGTTAAACACAATGTCAGGGGTGGAGAGGTCTGAGTGGGGGAAGCCCATCTGTGGGGCTGGGTGGGACATAACACGCCCTTCAGAACCTGTGAGGAACAACAAGCAGGACGTCACCTTTTGGTTTGAGAGGGCAGAACTCGGGCCAACAGCCGTTCTGGGGAGGGGCCATGACGAGGGTAATGATAGTTGCTGATACTATTAAGCAGTTCACAGTATTGGGAACTTTTCTAGGCAGTGCCATGTTTAACGTATTTGATATTCACCCGCTGTGAGTAGATGGTGATAACCACAGAGGAGGAAACAGAGGCCCAGAGGAGGCACAGAGCTTTGCTTAGGTCGTAGTCAGGGGCAGAGTCCGGTTTGGACCTGAGCAGTCGGACATCTGAGTCTGTGCTGCTGAGCCTCACGCTGCACGTGTTTAGAAGAGGGACGGAGAAGGCTGAGGTCAAGTCGTGGGCTGGGGGAAGTGGATGTGGACGGGAGCAGGGAGGACCGAGTGCAGGAGTGGGGGGAGGAGGGCCGAAGAGCTAAAGCTGGGGCATCTTGAAGTGGATGGAATGGCAGACTGTGCCGGGCAGGCAGGGTAAGACCCCTTCACTGCCAGTGGTTGTGGGCACAGCAGGACACCAAGGAGCCTGTCGCAATGCCTCGTTCGATTGACTTTGCCCCAGATGCCCATCTGTTCCCCTCTTGAGTGCTTAGCCCAGCCTCACACAGACTAGAAGGGAAGCCTGTCCCCGGGGCCCTGCTCCCTCGCCCTAGCTCAGCAGGACACCCGGCAGGGTCCTCGGCAGCTGGGCCCTCCCCTGCATGTGGTCCCAGCCATGGCGCGGCCGCAGAAATGTTGGGCATCGTGCCCCCATGGCTGCCGGAGTCTCTCTGACTGCATGTTTGTTTTGCAGGAAATGCTGCTTGGGCGATGGCTACTTCCAAACCTGATATTTTGATTATACTTTTACAGAAATTGATGGAGGAAGGAAACATGATGTACAAAGTAAGTGGTTTTGCCCCTCTCTGTGGTGTGGTAATGGCCTGCGAGCAGCCTCTTAGTTTGGTGTGTGATGGATGCAGCCGTGCCCCTGCACAGACTCCACACGGCACGGCTTTAATAGAAGTTCCGGAGAGCTGCTGACCTGGCCGCATGCCCAGGCTTTGATGTCCTAACGGCAGTCTTCGAGGTAGAAAGCACTTCTCCTTGTCTTCGAGAACCGTTTTTTCTGAGCAAATCCCTGTGGCTGTAACTGAATGAAGCCTTGATGTGAAGGCAGCGTCACTTCTGATTTAACATAGCACACAGGAGACTCGTCAGTGCCTGGTCTCGGGACGCCTGGGAAAGGGGCATTCCAGAGACATTTTCAGAAGAAAAGAATCATTGAGTCTCCCAAGCCTTGATTATCTTATTTTAGTATCTGTATAAGCTTTTAGAATTTGAAACTGTTTGTACAGATGTTTTTACTTAAGACAGTAAGTGATACATAATAGTTACTCAGGAGACTGAATTAAAGTTTTTCCATTTTCCCTTAGAAATGGAAATATTAGATCTACACATGAATAAATTTGACTTTAAAGTAAGTTTCCTAAGATAAGACATCAGTTCCAAGCAAAAGCAAACTTGGACTAGGAAGGGCCCGACAGTAAACTCTCGGGGCTCTGCTCTGTGGTCTCTGTCCCTCTGGGCCGGGGCCGCTGCTGCAGTACTGGGGGCGGGGTCCGCTGGGCTGCCACAGACACACCACACCCACAGGTCGGCGTGGCCACGCCCTGGTCCAGCATCATCTGTGCAGCCTGTGGGCAGGCCACACTGGGCTGCAGGCTGTGTTTTGCCAACCCCAGGCCAAAACAGGTGCTTAGGCCATTTACAGAGATCACTATTCTTTCCTTTCGGTGATTTGACACAATTAAAAGATTCTAAAAACAAAACCCTCGATTATGAGCATTTTAATCCTCTTTACCATGAGGCTGCTGCAGTTGCTATGTTTCCCCTTTTCTTTTTGAAATAAATAGGCATGTAGCATGACCCAGCAGGGTTCCTGGCTTGGAATCAGTTTGAAATTGAGTTCAGAGTGTGTATTGTGGTGGCTTTGAAGTGGTTTTAATGTGAGTTTCGGTGGCAATTAGGTTAGAAACACCAAGGCGTTTTCAACAGGCTTCATCCCTGCTGCGCTGGGAACTGAGCGAGCACATTGCACGAGTTTCTTTAGCCTTGAAGAGGACATGCGGTGCTGTTCTGATTTTTAAAACCCATACTTTTGGTCCTTTTAAAAGAAAACATTATTATTCTGTAGCAAGCTATAGGTTTATCCACAAGACTTGTCTTAGGAACTGCATTATGTTTTCATCTGATTTCTATTATGCTTAGCATTAAAAGATCACTATGAGATATAAGTGAGATATGAGAGAGCATTCATGAAAAGGTTTTCAAAACTATACTTAAAAGATAATCTGATGTATTAAGACTGATAGTTACCAGTTTGGCAGTTTACAGCTGCCCTCCGCAAGGCCGGCCTCTCGCTCACCCTGGGACCTGCGCACTGCGGGCGGCGAGGCCATGAGTTCGCGCAGCTCAGTGTTCTGGCTCTGGCTCTGGCCCTGGCCCTGGCCCTTCCTCCCCAGGATCCTTCCACTGTGTGCTCGTGGCTTTGCAGTGGGGGGAGAGTAACTCCAGGATCTTTAGTGTGTAGCAGCATACTCATCTTGGAGCATCTGGTGAAGGATGAATGTCTGGTTTTTGGATCCTAGAAAGGGAAGATGAAAGAGGCAGCCCAGCGGTACCAGTACGCCTTAAGGAAGTTTCCTCGAGAAGGATTCGGAGAGGACATGAGACCATTCAATGAACTGAGAGTTTCCCTCTATCTCAACCTATCTCGCTGCCGAAGAAAAACAAATGTAAGCTGAGCCCCCTTATTCCTCTCCTTTGGCGATGGGATGTTTTCACAGAGGTAAAGGCCAGCCCTTCCTTAGCCCGTATCTTGGGACCTCCTGTCAGATTTGCGTGCACATTTGTGAACCTGGTGCTTCTCTCGGATGGCCACCGTTCGATCACTGTCCCCACCCACCTCTCCAGATGCTGAGAGGGCGTGCGTGGGTATAGTAGTATCCTCTGCTTCAGTGCAAACTGCTCCTGCACCCCTCCCTGGCTGTATGTTGCCAGCATTGTCCTGAGTGGTCCATCGCCAGATTTAAAAGGACAGAACATGATCAGGCTCAACTTAAATATGTCACAGTCTGCATGCAGGGGTGTGCAGCCTGGGGCCTGCGGGCCACATGTGCCCGTGATGGCTGTGAGTGCAGCCCAACACAAAATCAGTGATGTACTTAAAACATTATGAGATTTGTGTGTGTGTGTGTGTGAGTACGTGTTGTAATGTATTGAATGTGTGGCCCAGGACGACTCTTCTTCCAGTGTGGCAAAGAGATGCCAAAAGGTTGGGCACCCCTGGTAGGGCTTATTATGTTTGCTTAGGAGTTGTGCCAGTAATTGTTTAATTTGTAATAAATAGTAGCTAACTCAGTTAATTGGATTCATTTCAGTAATTTTCTTCTAATTTTTTAACTTCATCTACCACCAAATCTGTGGACCCACCTGCTCCTGTGCCCACATCAGCTGCCTGCTTCCTGTTGGAGTAGGCGGAGCATCTGCGCCCCAGGAGGCCAACCCCCCAGTGGTGCGCTGGGTTCCCCCTGCCGCAGCCTCCTGGGCCCTGCTTCTGCCACTGTCCTTTCTCTCCTAAGTGACCTACTGTTGTTTGTCTACTGGATTCGTCTCTTAAAAATGTCAATAACTATCTCCCAACTGTAAAACTGAACAGCAAAACAAACTTACCTTGCCCTTCCTCTCTCTCCAGTTATGTCCTAATTCTCTGCTAACTTTTAGAGGGAGACTCCTGTTAAAAAGTTGCCTGTAATCATTTCATTGTTTCTTCTGACTTGTGTTTAACTGTTGACACCAGGACTTTGGCATGGCAGAAGAATTTGCATCCAAGGCTCTTGAACTGAAACCAAAGTCCTACGAAGCCTTTTATGCCAGGGCAAGAGCGAAGAGAAACAGCAGGTACTGTCTGGATGCAGTGAGATGCGTGACGAGAGATGCCTTGTGCTTCTGTGGTACCAGAGCTGCTGGTTGCCTGTGGGCTTCGGACTCGGGCAGTGCTCAGATGCCTCTCAGCTCTTAATACTAAATCGGTTGCTTCGAGGAGGCACAGTAGTGGCTGTTGTTAGCAGTGGCTCAGCTTTGATTTTCTCCTGACATCTGAATGACTGTTCCTCCCCTCCACCCCAGCTGACACTTACTGCCACGTACAGTTCCTAGATTGGTCCATACTGTCAGTGGAACTGCCAACCGGAGACTTTAAGTGGAGGTGTGGGGGAGGGAAGCGGGGAGGGGGCATATCAGACTTTAGAATTAGAGGTGGGCATGGTGAGAGGGGAGGGTGAAGACAGCTTTAAGAGAATTCTCATACCCGCTGATTCGTGCCAGTTCTCAACCCCAGCCCAGGGGTCCTTAGAGAGACAGAAGGGCCCTGGAGTCCACCAATCAGGGCTGGAATTCAGCCGTCCCACTTCCTGAGCATCTGTAAGCTAGTTAAATGCACCCTGTCCACCATCGTTCAGTGTTCAAACCTCACTCACCTACTTTCTCTGTTGTTTTTAGCAAAGCTGTTTTATGAACAGTTACATTCGGAGCATGTGTTCACATGGCTTGTAATTATATCTTCTCTTTTCGTATGAAGGCAGTTTGCGGCAGCTCTGGCCGACTTGCGAGAAGCTGTGAAGCTCTGCCCCACCAACCAGGAAATCAAGAGGCTGCTGGCCCGTGTGGAAGAGGAGTGCAAGCAGCTGCAGAGGAGCCAACAGCAAAAACAGCAGTGTCCACCCGCGGCCCCACCCAGTGACTCGGATCACGAAGTGGAAGCCCCAGCCGCTGGACTAAATGACCACTTACCTGTTGAGGAGGCTGAAGAAGAAGAAACTTCGCCACAGGAAGAATCCATTTCCCTGACTCCCAGGTCCCAGCCACCCTCATCTGTCCCTTCCCCATATATCCGGAACCTTCAGGAAGGGCTGCAGTCCAAAATAAGGCCAGCCTCGCCCCAGAACAGGCCGGCAGGTGCCAAGCCCCTGCGGGAGCCTGCGGTGCAGCCAGGGTTGCTGATGCAGCCCACCAAGCAGGCACAGATAGTGAAGACCAGCCAGCACCTCGGCTCTGGACAGGCTGGCGTGAGAAACGGTAGCACAAAAATGCAGGTGTCTTCTCCGAATCCTCCCCCGAGTCCCATGCCAGGTAGAATGTCCACGGCGCCTGCTGGCGTCCGGAACCAGCCTTCAGAGGGAGCAGGCGTGTTCACTGTGGGGGGTTCGGGCCGGTTTGGAGACCGGCTGGGCTCCAGCCACTGCGTCCAGCTACAGCACGGTGAGGGCAGCAGTGCGTACCCTTTACCGAGCAAGATAAAAACTGCAGAGCGGCTTCTGGCTCACGCCTCCATGGCCGTGGACGCAGCCCCACTGAACCAAGGTGGGCCGGTGGGCTGCAGCGACATGCGACACCCAGCCTGCCTCACCAGCTCAGGCTCTTCTGGTTCTCCATCTAGCAGCGTAAAGATGTCAAGTTCCACCAGTAGTTTGACTTCGAGCAGTAGTTTTTCTGATGGCTTCAAGGGCCAGGGGCCAGATGCCCGAATGAAAGACAAGGCTGCCCACCAGGTGCAGAGCGGCACAGCCGAGCACAGACCGCGCAACACTCCCTTCATGGGCATCATGGACAAGACGGCGCGGTTCCAGCAGCAGAGCAACCGCACCTGGCACTGCCCGGGGCCAGAGGCACTGCTGACTAGCACGTCCTCTGCAGCGGGCCCGCAGGCCCCGAACTCTGAGAAGCCCGCTCTCAAACAAGCAGCGGGGTACAGCAGCCAAGGCAAAACCTGTTCTGTGGCAACCCTGGGTGGAACTGTGCACAATGGGGCACAGATGAAAGAGCTAGAAGAAAGGAAATGCCAAATTCCAGCCCACTGCCCAGATAGCAGGATAGCCAAGACTGTGTCTCACCTGTACCAGGAAAGTGTCTCTAAGCAGCAGCCTCACCTGAGTAACGAAGGCCACCGGAGTCACCTTCCTTCAGCAAAACCAAAGCGCTCTTTCATAGAGTCAAATGTATAGGCTGAGAGAGACCCGTTGGTGGAGTTTGAAACAGTGTGTTGGCTCTTGGTGGTAATCAAATTTTTTTATGAGAAAAATTACTTTTTAGCCATATTCTTTTTCCTTGGAGGTGGATCAGATTCCATTGATTTATTTAAAATATGGGATAAAATTTCTTTGATGAATATCAGAAGTCACCATAAGTAAGAATGCTAACCAGAATGGAAAACTACAATTAGTTATGTCTATTAAGTTAAAAATTTAAGACAGCCAAGAAGACATTAACTAATGCTTTTCTCTTATGAAATTATTTGGTTTTTATCACTTTCCTCCTAGCCTTTGCTATGTGGTAAAATCATAATGTTTCTTAGAGAATATAAATGTCTAGTGATAGGATCAGCTCATGACTAAATAGCCAGATGATAATAGTCTGGGAGAGATGGAATTTTCAAGTTGGAGTTTCATGGAGTCAAATCCCAATTTACACATACAGATAAAATTAAGACCCAAGTGATTTCTAGCTGAATATGTGACTATAAATGTTACACTGCTGACTTTTTAAAGCAAAATACAAGAATATCCAAGTATTGTTCCCTTCATAGCAGTTCCTCAAAGAGGATTAAGCACTTATTTCCATGTTACGATTCTCATTAAACATATTTTTATAGCACGTTTCTGGGACTACAGTCCTTTCCTATTCCAATGTTTCAGTATTTGGAAGCAGTATAGGCCATTTGGAATCATGACTGGTGGTCAAGCTGGATTTGGGCTCTACTACCAAGAATACAGTGTTCTTGGGGACGTGTAAATTAACTCTCAGCTGGTTCACAAATTGCTTCTACCAGTGATAGCAGTTCTGGAACAAGCCTTCCGTGCCCCTTTAAGGACAGAGTTTAATTTGGATACTTAAGGTCTGGTTCATTGGTGGTTTAGTTTTATTACACAATCACTACTTTATAGTCACATGTTGTACATATTACATAGCCAAGTTGTATTCAGACTTGTAAATATAACTATTTCAAGTACTTAACCTTTAAAAAAAGTCATATATTTGCATGTTCTTTGTAAACTTCATCCATACTGGTTATTGCACTGAACAATATATTATGGCATGTTAACAGTGTACCAGTAACGGCACTTTATTTCATTTATATGAACACCTTTGAGGTGCTACTTAAGTCCAAACTGATGTATTATTCATTTATGAAGATAAGGTACAGGAATGAACCTTGGCTGAAAGGTATTTTTCTATGAAAATGGTGTGCTATTGAAGGATGTTAAAATGCTAGTTTGAGAGAGGAGGGAATGTATTTGTTTTATATGTTGGGATGTGAAATTTATTTTCTAGAATTGGGGAGAAGGAGTTCTATATTTACAGAATGTTTTAAAAATGAATCGTTGTAATGAAGTTCCTGTGAGCATCACTGTAGTTTTGTACAAATAGAATCTTCTGGTGGTGTTCTTTGACATTTGTTCTTGATGTGTTTTGTACAGCTTTGTCATTTTTTAATAGGCTTTTCTTGAGTTCTGCTATAACTACTATGGCTTATTTATTGTGTATTGTTTTCTTTAATATCTGTGAGTCTTACTCTTTTGTTATGTAGTTTTGTTTTTGCACAACTACTGTATTTTTCCACATGGAATAAAGACTATTAATAGAATGTGTTTGCATTAAATGACACTGTGGATAAGTGGAGAAGATTGTGATGACAGCCACCTGCTTTGCTTAATCCTGGGTGGTCTTGTTACTCTAAAGAAAATACTGAAAAGTCTATTTTTATAGTAGTAATATCCAATGCATATTTAGTTTCATTTAGTAATAATTTTAAAACAAGGGTGACAGCTTCTAGAAATATAGAATATGCATTCTATATTCAAGGGTCAAAATAGTCAAGGGTCAAAATTAGTCTTTTACCCTGAAATAGGGAAGAAAGCACAAAGAACATTCTATAATTTTATCTGCTCTGGAAGTCAAGGTGTATGTTTTTACTGGCAATTAGGTATCTTTAGGACTCTTAACTTTCAAACATTTTGGCAACACAGCAATCACTATTAATAAGAAAGCTTGTTCTCAGCACATTTGTATTTTTTATTAAAATGTGCATGTGTCTGTGCACCCACATACTTCAGTTTCAGAGTCGCAGAACGAGGAGCACTGAGCCAAGCTGCACTGCAGTGAGATCCCGGCTGGAATCTAAGCCTTCGTGCTCCCTGTGCTGCTGCTGCTGCTGCTGCAGGTTACTGTCCGGTTGCCGCTGTTACTAGCAAGGCTAAGTGTAGAGTTTTAAGTCCTCCTGTAAAGGTATACATTTAAACTAAAGGTTAAAAATAAACTGGGTGGGAAGGAAAAAGTGTTATTTGCCGATTCTTGTTGGATGACTCTTCCTGTGAAGCTGCTGTATGACTACTAGTAGAATTTGTTACATACTACATTATGATTTTGATATAGTCTCAGTAAAGATATGTGTTTACATCTTGCCACAGAGAAGTCACATCTCCTTGGGAAGCTACTGGTCAGTCCCAAGGACGGGCAGCGGGCAGGTGGGTGCTGCCCCTGCACAGTCCCGAGGGAGGGTGGAGCGTGCTGCGGGGCGTCCGTGTGCGTTCTGTGGGTGGTTCTGGACTTAGAGTGTTTAGGTCTGTCTTTGCTTGTGTGTTTATGGGGACACTGAGTTGTTTGGCTTTGGCTTATTTGTAAGTACTTCACTTTGGTAAATTATTGGCATCTTAGTTTTCAGCCAGTTTGTTCAAAAAGAAACTATACTTTGTAGAAATGTAGAAAAGAAAATCACCTCTAACATTTAAAAGTAACCAGCCTTTTATAGAAATGATTTTGTTTTTCCTTAAATGACTTTGATGATGTCTAGTAACTTCTATGTAAAAACCAGATAGCCTCCTTTGGAAAGTAAGTCTGTTATTTTACCAAAACAAAAGATATTTGGTCCAGTGTTGGGCTCTAACAATTAAAAAAATTTGCTAGAATTATGTTAGCATTCTTTCTGTAAAGAATACAGTAGGCAAACACCTTCTAGAATATGTCCCTAACCTGTTTCTTGTCCTCTAAAGAACGTGAGAAGCATGTGCAATATGAAGAAACTCTTCTACGATCATAGGTTGTGAGTCCTAGCTGTGATACAAAGTAAAACTCAGCAATACATTACGAGGAGAACAGAAACTGTGCAAAGCAGCAATTGCAAAGAAAAGACATTTGGAGATTTCTGTGGTAGCTAGGCTCTCCATCCTGTAGACATACAGCTTATTAACTATAAAAGTTCATAAAATTTAGGAAAAGACTAAGTATATAAGGTAATGACATTGCATTTCTCTTTTATTTCAAGTTTATGTCAAAGTTTTCAAATATCCGAACAATTCCAACAGGGGTTTGGGGGTAAGCACCCAGATCTAGGTCCCTGTTTGCCATCGCAGTTCAGTTCTAACAAGCATTTCCACTAACGACTCCATTCTGATAAAACAGGTATGTGAGGGCAATATAACCACCGCTTCCTGAACTCTGAAGTTTTCTTCTAAGTGAACACTTACAGGGCACTGTATCAAATGCCAGTGTGTTGTACAAAAATGTGTGGTCATGACTTCTAGTCAAGATGGGGGCATAGGTAAACACACTTTGCCTCCTTGCATAACCACAAAAGAATTACAACTAAATCTCAATGCCCAGAACTGTCAGAAAATCAAACTGTATGGAAGTCTGACAACCAAGGATTTAAAGAAGCCACATTCATCTAGACAGGTAGGAAGGGCTGAGACACAGAGGTGAGGAGACACAGTGGGGTGTGGAGAGGTGTTGTGGTGGAATGGGCACAGGTGGCCCCATATTCATGTGTGGTGGATAAAAATTGGGAGGAGTACCTTCAGAGCAGAGGGATCCCAGCCCCAGGCCAGACTGCACAGCCCAGGGTTCAAGTGCCTGGAAGATAAATCCTCATAATTTCTGGCTGTAAAAACCAGTGGGGGTTGGTGTGGCAGAATAATTTGCCAGATTTTCAGTAAACTGCAGAAAAGGGCCTGCACAGGTGTAGAATGTCCACAATGTCACCCACTCTGGGTTTCAGTACCAGGGCAACAGCTGGAAGGGAATCAGTCGCATAGGGAGAGTGGCTGGAAACGTGCCAGGCAAACCTTCAGAAGCCGGCAGGGCCCTGTCCTCTGGCTTCCTCCCACACAAGCCACAAAGCAATGAAGTGGGTTGCTCTACCCTGGTGATTTCCTAAGGCTCTGCCCCACAGAATTAACAGATTTGACTCCCTGCCTTTTACAGGGAATCAAGGCAGGTCTGTCTAATACACAGAAACAAACACAGGGAGGCTGCCAAATTGAGACAAAGAGATACGGCCCCAGTGAAAGCACAGGACAAAACCCCAGTAAAAGGATGAATCAAAGCAGAGCTATATCAGATGCAGAGTTCAAAACACTGGTGATCAGATGCCCAAAGAACTCATTGAGCATGGCATGAACATAAAGAAATGAAGGTTATACTAAGTGAAATAAAAGTCTACAGGGAACCAACAGTGAAAGGGACTCAAATCAATGATTTGCAACACAAGGAAGAAATACTCAACCACAACAATAAGAAGAAACAATTTAAAAAAAAAGGACAGTATAAGATGACTCGGGGACATCTTCAAAAGTGCCAACATCTGAATTATAGGGATGCCAGAGGAGAAGAGGAAGAGCAAGAAATTGAAAACTTATTTGAAAAACTGAAAGAAAACGTGTCTAATTGGTGAAGGAAATAGACAAGTCCAAGAAGCACTAGAATCCCAAACAAGTTGGACCCAAAGAGGACCATACCAAGACACATAATTAAAATCCCAAGGTTAAAGATAAAGGGAGGATCTTGAAAGCAGCAAGAGAAAAGCAGAGAGTTATCAACATAGGAGTTCCCATGAAACAGCTGATTTCTCAAAAGAAATCCTACAGGCAAGAAGGGGCTGGAAAGAAGTATTCAAAGTCATGAAAGGCAAGGACCTACAACCAAGATTACTCTACCCAGCAAAGCTGTCATTTAGAATAGAAGGGAGGATAAAGTGCTTCCCAGACTAAAGGTAAAGCTAAAGGAGTTCATCACCACCAAACCATTACTACATGAAATGTTAAAGGGACTTATTTAAGAAAAAAATCAAAACTATGAACATTAAAAAGACAACAAATTCACAACTGTTAACAACTAAAGCTACCCCCCCCCCCCAAACTAAGCAAACAACTAGAACAGGAACAGAATCATAGGTGTGGAGATCACATGGAGGGTTATCAGCTGGGAGGGGGAGGGAGGAGAATGGAGGAAAAGGTACAGGGAATAAGAAGCATAAATGATGGGCACAAAATAAACAGGGGAGGTTAAGAATAGTATAGGAAATGGAGAAGCCAAAGAACTTACATGCACAATTCATGGAAATGAACTAAGGGGGGGAGAACTAAGAGGGGAAGGGGCTACTGGGTGGAGGGGGGCAAAGGGGAAAAATTGTGACAACCATAATAGCATAATCAATAAAATATACTTAAAATGTATAGTCCCCCTGATTTAGTCTAGTTTAGACTATTATGTAGAAACTTCAATAATTCTATATGCTAAAAAAGGCTAATTTGCCACATTATATATTTTAGCCAATTTAACACTATATTCATGACAATTCCAGTTTATACAATGATTTTGGACAATGGAAAAAAATAATCATTACCACCTTGAAAATTTAGAATCCAGCAAAATTGCTCATTAAACATATGAAAGTTATTTTCTTTGTTCATAAATCTATAAGTATTTTGCTACAAGTTCTCTTTAGATGGATTCCAAAGAATTATCAAATGATTGGCTACTAGGATTTTAATATCTGTTATAGATTATTCTGATGTTTGCTTGTAATATGATATATCTAAGAATAATAAAAGTGGGCATTGCAATTTAAAGTCAAACTTTGTTTCTCTAAAAGTTAAGATTTTTTCATTAGTACGAAAAGGCTTTTATATTAAAAATAGAAAAGAGGTTAGATGTGTTTAGTCCATATGTTTTAAAGAATGAAAATAGATACTAGTTTTTATAGATAACTAAAATTTAAGATTACCTGTTTTGCTTTTCATAATATCTGATTAGTATTTACTCTTAAGTCATTCAAGTGAGATCACTGATACAAAGTACATAATATAAAAATAAACAGTTTTATTTTTTATGTGTCTCTAGCCATCGATCAATGGCCATTTTCAGAGTCCTGTTTGGTATAAGTACTGCTGAAGGAAGAACAAGATTCGTCATGGGACTTGTGCGTTTCTTTTTGCTTATCCAATTTTCCATTGCTTCCTTTTCATATGAATAGCCATCTAAAAAAAACAACAACACAGACACAAATCATTTGCAATGTAGAAAAAGGAAGTTAGGATGACTAAAATGAGATGGCTATGAAAACTCCATTGCTATGATCTGTATTGTGATTTAAGGGGTATGTACCACGACTGCCCAAATATTTCTGCCACAGTACCCTAATGCATTAATACTGCACACATTACCTCAAACAGTGTCAATATTTTACTGATTCTTTTTGAACACTACAACTGAAAAAACCCTGTTAAAAAATTCAGATGTAGCAGAAAGGAAGAAAGGAAAAGAGCCGGATGGAGCGGCACTGAAGATGCATTAGGACCAACACGGAGAGAACTCGGCCCACTAAGGACTTGATAGCAAAGATATCTGTGATGTAACAATGAGTACGATCCACTGGCTAAAAGTTTTAATGTCATGTTCTTGCAACATTCTTTGCCTCTGCACATAGACTGGAGCTTTTGCTTCGCTATACCGTTTTATACTGGTAGCTGCTCCTTTTAAACTGAAAGAGTTAGTTCCTTAGTTCACGTACACATGAACCCTGTTGCTCAGATCCACAGTGCACACAACTGGTTCAGGCCGACACGGCCAATGCATTACTCCCCAAGATGCACAAGAGTTTTCTGATTGCAAAATGGTGTTTGAAAATCACCTGAAAAAACTTCCATTTGATAACTTGGCCAACTTGACATACAGTTTGGTTCATTTGCTTCCCTTTTTACCCTCCCAATGTTTACAGATTGGTTTGGTTTTCAAGATTTATTTTAACTCTGTACATTTAAGTGGTTTCTAAGTAAAAACTAGAAAATGGTACACTCAGAAGAGGAGTCAATTTTCTGTCTAACCCATGTTCCCTCCATTTCCTTATAGGTAGCCATGTATATTAATTTTTGTTTAGTTTATCCCTGTTTCTTTTTGAAAACATAAGCAAATGTGTGTACAACACAGTACACGTGCATTCTATATAAAAGCTCACATGCTGTATCCTATTTTGTACCTGGTTGGTTTTTTACTTAACTGGACCTTGCTGTTTATTTCTCCCCAAGCACTCCCTGCATGGATGTACTGACGGACATCTGGGTTGTTTCAAATCGCTGCCTTTCACAGATAGTGCTGCAGTGAACAGTCTTACCACTTTGGGGCAAATTCCAGACATAGAACTGCTGCATCAAAGAGTGCGTGTGTATAATTCTGTCACACATGCCTGCACTTCCATAGAAATTACCTTTTTTGTCATTCCTACCAACAGTGTTGATGAGAATTCCTTTTACCCAAAGCCTCACCAAAAGAACATGGTGTCAAATTGGATTTTCACCAGTCTCTCGTGAACAATGGTGTGTTTTATTTATTATGAGGGAAATAGAACATTTTTCATATGTTTAAGAACCATTTGCTTTTCCTTTTTATATGAACTGACTTCTGTTTTTGGTCCATTTTTCTATTAGGTTGCTCTTCTAATATAGAAAGATTTATTTTTTAAATTGAGATATAATTGACAAAACATTGGTTTCAGGTGTTCAACATAATGATCCGATATATATTGCAAAATAATCACTATACAGGCCTAGTAACCATCCATCACCACACAGAGTTACAAATTTTTCCTTTTTCCTTGTGATGGCAACTTTTAAGATCAACTGTCTCGGCAACTTTCTAATACATAATATAGTAGTATTAACTACAGTCACCATGCTGTGTATTATATTACACTCCCAGGGCTGGTTTTATAACTGGAACTTTGCACCTTTTGACTATGTTCACCCACCCCACCGCTGGCAGCCAATCTGTGCTAGGAGTCTGGTGTTTTGTTTAAAATTCCACACATAAGTGAGATTGCGTGGTATTTGTCTTGGACTTACTTCACTGTGCACAGCACCCTCAAAGTCCATCCATGGTAACAAGTGTCAGGATTTCCCTTTTTTAATGGTGGGATAATGTTCCATTGATACACACACACACCTTTTCTTCATCCATCCACTGATGGACACTTAGGCTGTTTACATGCCTTGGCTATTGTAAATGCTACAGTGAATGTTGAGGGTACAGATACCTTTTCAAGTTAGTGATTTTGCTGTCTTCAAATAAATGCCCAGAAGTAGAGTTGCTGAATCGTATGGTAATTCTATTTTTAATTTTTCAAGAAAACCCCCATACTATTTTCCATAGTGCTTGCACCAATTTACATTCTCACCAACAGTGTACAAGGGTTCTCTTTTCTGCACAACCTCACTAACACTACTGTTCCTTTTGGCAATAGCCATTTCTGGCAGGTGTGAGGTGATATCTCATTGTGGTTTAGATTTACAGTTCCTGATTAGTGATGTTGCGCACCTTTGTATGCACCTGTTGACCATCTGTATGTCTTCTTTGGAAAAGTGTCTATTCGGATCCTCTGCCCATTTTTTTAAATCAGATTGATTGTGTTGGTTTCTGTTTTTCTATTGAGTGGTACGAATTCTTTATATATTGGATTGACCAAAAAATCTGTTACCTTTTTTCCATAAAACAAAAGACATTTTTCAGTTTCACTAACTTAACAATAACTTTATTGACTTGGATATTTTGAGTATGCTGGCTGTCTCCCACTGTTGGCTTCTAATGGGTAGAGGTCAGGGGTGCTGCTAAACATCTTCCAATGCATTAGACAGTGCACAGCAAAGAATTATTTGGTCAAAATATCAATAGTACCATGGAACTTCACAAACCACTTTTGATACGTTTGACTGGTTATAGCACCTTCTCCATAGACTGCACAGATCATTCTCTGTTTCAGTTGTTTTTGCCTTTCTTGAAATAATAAAGCATAATATGCTGAAAGTTGTGTATTTTCTTCCATCTTCAATATTAAAGTGGCTGCACTAACATTCAACAATTTTAAGTTTTTTTTGAAATGCACGCTGATATGACAGCTGTCTCAATACAATCTAACAAAATTGTTTCGAATGAAGGTAAAGACAACTCTGCACTAGTGGAGCCATAATACGAAAAAAACCCTAAATGAACTTTTTGGCCAACCTAATATTTTGAATATTAATCCTTATCAGATATACAAGGTCTGTCCAGAAGGCATCCAGCCATGTACTATGAAAAAACAGATTACTGAAGAATATGCGAGATACAAAAAACATTGTACACAGGACAATGATGCCTCAGTCCCCTTCAAAGTAGCACCTTAGAATCTCACACAGTTGTCCCAATTGCCATCAGCTGCTCTGTCATATTTCCCTGAATCTCAGCAATAGTCTGAAATCTCTTCCCCTTCAAAGATTTTAGTTTTGGAAAAAGCCAAAAGTCACAGAGCACCAAATCTATAATGCATGAGCAAGCACATTGTCATGATGAAGCTGCCAATCACCAGTGGCTCGTAGCTGCAGCCTTCTGAATCATCCAAATATTTTCCATGGAAGAATGTTCAAATTTTGTTAAAACAAAATT